GCGAGGCTGGGGGTGCAGCCAATTCGGCGCGGGATGGCAAGGTGGGGTCTTGCCCACGGCAATGGCGGGCTTAGCCTATAATGGCGCGGCGGCGGAAGCAAGGCTCCAAATTGGAGCTTGTCACGGCGTGGTTGGACGTGGTGCGGGGTCGGTCGGCTAGTAGGCTCGAAGGCGGAGTCGGGAGCGCAGCGAATTGAATGGACGTGACCCTTCCATGCCGGATTGATGGCGCGGCTCGGACGGCCCGGGTGGCAGAGGAGGTAGGGGGAAAAGGGAATGGGTCCGACTGGCTTGCCCGAGCATTGGCGGGACGCGGCTGGGCGCACACGTGCAGACGCTGTGAGCTAATGCAGCCAAGAGGGAACGTGCACGCGCACATGCGGTGGCAGCGTGGCCGGGCGGCCGTAGCGCCGTTAATGGCGAAACGACGCGCTGTATCCACGGCAAGCCCACGTGCACGAAGACGGGATGGGCAGCGGCACAGAGGCACAGGCGGATGCGACAGCAGTGTGATGTGGCGCGGCAGGCAACAGCGCGGTGCAGCGAGCTGGTGGCAGGGCAGCGCAGCAGAGCGAACGCGTGCGGCCCCAGTGGCACCGGCAGCGGTAGCACGCAGCGCGCGACGGGACTACGGCGGGAGCAAACACGTTTAGGGTTTAGCGCGCGACGGGTTTAGTTTCCACCACTCAAAAGTTAACAATCGTCCGAATCACGTTTGCAACCTATTAGACTACAAAACTAACACTCGCAAACACATTAGTCCAATTTGGTCTTGTTGACTATCAAATACCAAAATCTAAAGTAAATGGACCAAGGGTCTATTTTCCTTACACACGCATTGACCCACCACCTCGCGGTCCGTGAGAAAAAAATTGTACAACATCAAAGTTATTTTCAACAGATTGTTAACTTTTGAGTGGTGGAAACTACGGCCTCTAGGTGGAGACGATCCACAGCTATTGCTTGGGATCTGACCAACACTCGGAGTTGTTGGTGTTTGCGCGTGTAGACGTGCACCTAGTGTTAAACGGCGGACAGTCCGAGCCTAGGTACAAATAGTCTATGGTCGTTCAACCTTTCTGAAAACTCGTTTCTATAGAAAGTTTGAGTTGCTTGGGTGACAATAGAAAACCAATTGCATATGACAGTTCAAGCGTTGTGCCACAGACGGTCTGCAACTCACTTAACAGTAGACTCTAACATGCATTTAATATTTTTGTCAAAAAAAACTTGCATTTAATGTGAATAAAGATATTCTCTGGTTTAAAGGCGGATCGTCTGAGGTTTGGACCGTGGATGGTCTGGGAAAAACTCTATGTTTTGCAAGGAAGACTCTGTAATGGCTAGTAAACAAGTTGCGACTATTTTTTGCAAGGAAGGCTCTATAATGACTAGCAACTCACTAGGGTGAGGTCTCTTAGCAGTAGACTCTAACATGCATTTATATATATATATATATATATATTTCATCGTTGGCACGTGGGTGAGGTCTCTTAGCATCTATTGAGGTTATATTTTGTGTATGTGCCCTATCATTTATTGAGGTTATTTTATTTTCATGCATTTACTTTATTACTTTACATTCCTAGATATTGAATCTTTACATGTCACCCTAAGTTGCATACAAACATTTACATAGTGTTCCTAGTGAAGAAAGAAATAGAAGTCATTTGTGTTATTAATTAAATTTGTCTAGCGTTGTGATTTTTAGTTAAAACTGCATGTTCGCCCCCTCTAACCAGTAATCCTATAAAATGATTAATCCAACATTTTTACTAACCGGTAGATGAATTAATTTAGATAATTCTAGTGTTGCTTATATTTACGGATAGATGTAGTGCTGTAGTAGTTAAGTTGGTTTCTTCTTCATAAGTGAATCATGACACTTTCATGTGAAAGCTAGTGCTTTCGTGTTGTTTAGGGATTTGGATTGTGATATGAGATTGTTGAAAACAAAAATAGAGACATCTATTTATTGAGAATTAACACTACAATAAACACGGACATGTATTGGCATGAATGAACAAATAGGATGGTAAAGCTGGCCAGAAAGGGGGAGAAAAAAAGAGGAGGCGCAAGTGGAATGTAACACTCGAGAGAATATATGGTCTTTTCGCTTAGTTTGGTGGCTTGCAGCAGATTAGAAGTAGCTAGAGAGAGGGGGAAACCAAGAAGAAGTTTCCTTTTTTGAAAACAATAGGCGTGGATTCTCCATGATGATATGGATGATGGAGGGAGTCTCTCCTAGATTTGTTTCTAAGGGATCATGACATCTCAATTTCATTTAGAAAGTGAAAGCTCTCTGCTTGTAACTTCCTTTTATATTTTAATTTATTTCAATAGTTTGGGGGTGATAATATACACACATCCCAACCACCGTGCATCATATCAAATGGGACGGCCGGTCTACACACATGTCACACATATATGTCTATATATAAAATGTTTTTTTTATCATAAAAATTGTTACAGTTAACATATGCTAGAAATCAACATAAAAATAACCAAACTAACGCCATGTACAAGGTAAAGCACCTTATTAGGGATTGAAACAACAATCTCGCATAAAAGAACTCAGGTCGATCCTTCTGTTTCGTCGGTTGTGTGCTGCTGGTAGCCCGGAGTCACAATTTTTTCCCCCAATGTATAGACCACAATGGCACCTTGATTGGCTCCTTTACGATTAATAATATATAAAATAAACAAGAAAGCTAATAGGGTGTTTGGTTTGAATGTAATGAAACAATCCATCATCTTCTCTTCTCGCTCCTTAATATTTTGTTTGGTTTAATTTGCAAAATAAAATAAGTTGATCCATCACCGTTTTATTTCTCACATGCTAATATTCAGTAGGAATGGAACAAGTTATCCTACTAAAATTAAGAATAGACTTATGATGCACCACGTCATTCGAAATGAGATGTTTTCTCAAACCAATTAAAGACCCTCTAAACAAGCTTCTATTATACTACATCAAACAATTAATTACTAGGGAGCTTGTATTGTATATGTACGTAAGCTGTAATATTATACACATGAGGAGCGGATCTATGATGAGGTGGTTGTGGCGGTAGGAGTTTAAGATCTGAAATAATTCATCCATATATTGACTATAGTATGTAATTAGGTTAGGTGCTTAGTCCTTATTACTATTATTATTATTATTATAGAGAGAGGAATCAGTGGCCGTGCCAGGTTTTTTTAGGTCAACACCGGGGGGGGGGTGTTGAAAGGCCTCCCCACCTAATAATGAGTTTAGGGATTCTAAGTTTAGGGTTGAAGCAACTACAACCTAATAATGAGTGAAGTCGATCAGGTTCAGGGTGTGGATATGATCTAGGACTCGGACTAGGGTACTGCAACCTGGCTCAACGACCTATCTTATATGTTATATTTCGTGCAAATGAATAAAATATATTACTCTAGATCAGCTAATTAACTTCAGCTTAGATCAATGTAAATCGAGTCAGCCCTGGCCTTGCACCATTCTTGGATCCACCACTGGTTATCTTTGATACAAGCTGGCCGATACTCCCTCGGTTTCAAATTTAAATTTATTTTCGTTTTGTCCTAATAAGTCATACTTACTCACTCTGGTTAAGCTTTATACAAAAATATATTGGCATCTATCAAGTCAAGTAATAAATGCACTATCAAAATATATTTCACAGTGAATGAATCTAGCTAGCTGGATGTTGGTGCATTTTTTCCTATAAACTCGATCAAACCTAGAGAAATTTAGTTTAAGACAAAACCAAAATGACGTGTGATTTGGAACGGATGGTTGGCAGAGGAGCTAGCGAGGGTACGTGCAGCTCCACCGCCGCGCGCTCTGTCTCTGTTTATATAATTAGTTTGTGGCTGCATGCATGCGTGCCTAATTAAGCTTTGGCTATGTGTGTGTGTGTGCGCGCGCATATAGCATATATTATATAGGTGCAAGAGATGCTTACCATGGAGATGGATGGGATGTTGAGATCCCGTCCGCGCGCGCCCTGTATCGTATGCGTCGTCGTCGTGCGTGCCTCTGCTAGCTAGCTAGCATATGTGACGACCACCCTCTCGCTCTGTATCTGCAACTGCGCAAGCAACGACTGCAAGCAGGAAAGGAGCGACGATGGGCATGGCGGCGGCGACGACGGGGATGCAGCTGGCGTTGCTGCTGTGCTTGGTTGTGCTGGCGGCGTCCCCGCGGGTGGCGCTGGGCAACTGCCGCGACGACTGCATGGCCGCCTGCAACGGCTGGCACGTCGTCTGCGAGCTCTCCTGTGGCAGCGCATGCTACGGAGAAGTCGGTGAGTTTAGTACATCGATGCATGCATTCATTATCTTAGTTTCTTCATTCATGCAATTCAATCAATTTCATCAACATACATACAGGGATCACAACCTTAAGTACGCCGGCTGAATCAGCCACAGCAGAAGCGCCTGCACCAGCACCACAAGCACAAGCACAAGAAGAAGAAGAGGGAGGCGGCGTGTCCGTGCTCAGGGGGCTCAAGCCATCACCGGCCCGTGGATGAACGCCAGCCAGCCAGGCACAGGCTCCGTCCGTGTCAGCTCACTTAAATTATTATTACTTGTTCCGTGTGGCCGGTTGGCCCATACTCATGATTATATAATACTCTGAGAAATGAAACAAATTATATTTGAAGAATACGTGATGATGGTGACTAACTCCATTCATTCATCCATGCATGCCTCACATTTCTTCCCTTCTAGTCTACATACAGCTACAGCGCTAGCTCATTTGAGCCCAATCAGCTCAACAATCATTCATGTACAACGAACCCTACTCTAGTACTAGTAGTAAGTTATACATATATATAATAAGGTGGTTACGGCCCAACCACCATCAAAAAGTGTATCCATCTTACGTCTCCGTCTATGTATGTATATATATTATAATAAGTTAACCAAGGAATGAAACGGAGGCTATATATATAAGTTAATAATGACATATATTTAGCAGGACTAGGACTATTCCATCACCTCTGTAGCTACTTCCAGAGCTTTACACATCTGTCATGACTGGCAGAGGCAATCATTCCAGTGAACGGGGAGTGTGCCAGTGCAGCGATCAGCCCTTCGTGCGCCTGGATTGAGATTCTCTGGTTATCTGATAAGCTCCACAGCTCCAGCGTCTGCATACAAACAATCAACCAATCATATCATATGTCTTGTGCCAAATCAGTGCCGTCTGCAATTAATATCCCTACATGTGGTTACTGCATTTCATTTACCTGATAACCGCCAACGATCAACACTTTCGGGTATCTAGGATGGAATGTGCATGACTGATATTGGTTTCCATTGGATCTTAACTCATGAATGCACATGCCCGACGATACCGACCACACTTTCACAGTGTCCTGACTTACGGATGCCAGATATTCACCATTTTCATCCCAGCACACACAGTTTACCTCACTATTGTGACCCTAAATCAAACAAACAAACAAAAAACAGTTTACAACTTTCACATTCCAAATTCTGCATAATGTTAAGCATCTCATGCATATCGATTACCTTTGGCGGGCAGGGTAAGCTGGCTTGCTTTTCAACATCAAAAATGTTCACCATGCTTCCAGCTGCCACAGCGAGGAGCTGCCCACTTCGAGGTTGAAACCTGACTCTTCCAGTGCCACCCTGCTTCACCTGTACCACAAAGTCAATGAGTATATCCTATAATAACTGAACTACAGCAAGGATGAACAGTTGTGAAGATGGGAGGCAGACGCATCAAGTACCAACCCGCAAAACATGAGTAGATGTAGTCTGACCAACTGTCCAGAAGAGAATTTCTCCGTTGTCCTCGCAAGAGCAAAGAACCTCTGTCAATCTTGGGTGAAAATCTACTGATGTTACATGCGACCTATGCCCATGAAAAGTTTGTAAAGCGCCACTTTCCTGCAAAAGGAGGAATAGCCATGAACCTAGGATATCACTTCAGTATTACTCAGGCTATCTGATGTTGCACCAACAATGCTGTCAAGCAAAACATAAATCAATAAGAACTAAACAGTAATACCAAGGTCTTTCTACCACCACACAAATAGAAACAAAATTCAGACAGTGTGGCTACTAGCTATGTCTATTAAAAATAAAGCACTGTCCTTCACTCCTAGTCTACATGCAAGTAAGCGGTCAGCTGTGCATAGTCTTGTGAAAAGGACCAGGAAATGGCATAGCACCATGAACTTAAGTGCATGGGCCACATACCACTTGTTTCTTCGACCTAAACTGCTGCTAGGTGGCCTAGGGGAGCTGGCTCTGCCTCTCCTTTGGTTCTTTTTTTCTCTACTTAATGACATGGCCTGCGTCGTTCGAGAAAAAAAAAATCTTTGAAGTGATAGTATCTAGCAAATCTAAATCAACAAATATCTCATATCCTGCTGTGGATTTTTTGAGGATAACTGAAAGAGGATTCAGAGACAGAGCAAGAGGGGTTTGAAGATATGAGACAACTAAAAATAATCAAAGGGAGCTCCTGAGTTCAAACTACTAAGTCATCACAGTGACTGGCCTATTTGGATGGTGTCCACAGTTTGCCACACAACAGGTTAGGTACACCGTACACCAAAGTTTCCTAGGTTAGTGTTTTGTTCTCCGCTATGTTGTTTGCCACACTTTTTCAGCTCTATGCCCACCTGTCATGGAATCACATCTTAGCCAAACCATGCCTAAGGTGTGGCAAGCAAATTGTTAGCCATGCATTAGGCAAAGTTTGGCAAAAAGGTCTAGCACTATGTGGGCACCATCCCAAAACACTAACCTCTACTTTGTAGTGTGATAGGTAAGGTTTAAATTTTTGTTTATTGACATGGTTTCAAATAAGCATCTACCTAACAACTAAATAGAGTAGTCATTGTAACCTGTCTTTCAAGGAAAAATGAGAAAGGGAGAGAGAGAGAGAGAGAGTAGAGAAAATCACATCAGCAGCATTCCAAAGTCGAACAGTTCCGTCAGAAGATGATGTAGCCAACTGAGTTGAATTCGTTCTGAATCTTATGTCTGTGATAAAGTTTGTATGGTCTTCTATTTTGGTATCCATCTTAAAATTGTCCATATTCCAGAGGAATACCTACAAAATCACCAAAACTTCAACACAAAAAGAGCTGAGAAAATAATTTCATAAATTACAGACTTATTTCTCCAACTGAGATGGAGAGAAAAAAAATGCAACCTTCCACAGATGAGGTTAATTTTTTTTTTTTTTTTTGCATGACTTACAAAATAAACAGACGAAAAATGTTTACAGGAAATATGACATGTAAACAATTTTGTTACTGGGTGTGGAAAGACAATTGTGCATATAGTTAGCAGAGATGGCCTTGATGAAACCAAATGCTAGGTTGAAATACACTTTATAATTTAAAAATGAAGTGTTCACACCTGAAACTAACCATCACCTCTCTGCATGAGAAACTACCAGATATATCCCAAGTTAGAACATTTTACCTTCTTCTCATGGCCGGCACTAGCTAGTAACTTTCCATCTGAAGAGAAGTGACAGCAAACAACCTTGTTGTTACTTGTACGGTTGTTACCAATTTCACTCAAAGAGAGACCTACACAAAAAATGAAATTAACCTTTAGCTATTATTATGCCTGCAATTACCCTCTCAATGAAGTGAGGTCATCTGACTCACTGAAAGTGGCCAGGGTGGTAAACTGTAAGCTACTGAGCCCTTCATGATGGAAAATTGCTAAAGTACCCTGCATGTACACCTTTTAACCATTTTGATTTCCAGAGCACATTAATTCTAAAGTTAAAATACTAACCCTTTAAGGACTCGGTATTGTGCTCTGAAGACCTTTTTTCAAATGCTGCGAACATGTCTCTTCCGTCTCCATCATCATTCGACAAAAATGAGTCGACATTTTCATCAAAATCAACAAAATTATCCAAAGCATCCTGTCAGTAACAGAACTCACTTAAGCACAAACAGAGCTCAGGGACTCAAAACACTGACACAAGAGCATAGACAGAACCATACCATCTGGTTTGAGGATGAGGCAAGTCCACCAGTTGCATCCACGCCACAAATCATTGAACTCTTCTGTAAAATATTAACATTGCTAGACACTGGTACTCCACCACCAGGGGTATGAGTGGATGGAGTTGATGGAGGAGAAGGCCCAGCAGTATTTCCCGTGCCAGTACTATTAGCTGCTCCAGAAGAAGTTGGCTTCCGCTTTCTAGTGTTCTGGATGTCAAGAAATTAGGCAAACTCATTCAGCATTAGCCACAAGGAGCCACAGAAAACCTTGAGGTTCTTTGTCACCTGCTGATGCGGCTGTTGCAATTCCATAGGCCTGTGGCCTGAGGACTGCTGCATCTGAACCATCTTCAACTAAAACATTGCAAATACTTTGTAGAGTCAATGGCAGCACTAATACAGTACTGAGGGGGAGAGGGAGAGAACAGTGAAAGGGGTGAATGTCTCAGGTGAAACAAAATTAACAGAAGTGATGGCAAAATCAAACACCAGACATTATGTTTGGACTTGGTTTACCAAGTAAACTGATTACACACTGACCTTCATCAAATAATCCGGATCATCTGATCGAACATTCGGCGAAGCAGATGGTGCTGGAGAACCCATTCTGGTAAGGTCATTATGTGTTTGTGCCTGAGCAACTAACTGTTGTTGTGGTGATAAAAGTTGGAACTGGTTCGAAGATGGCACCAATTGTTTCTGCACACCTAAATTGGACCGGAGTTGGTCGATACCTGGGACCTTTAGCAAACAGCAAAAAAAATGTAAGCATCCAAAGCAGAGGTATGCAAACATAGAAAAGGATTATGAACTCACCGTTAGAGGCCAGCCTTTAAGTGGCACACTCCCAACACCACCTTGATTTAGTCCTGGCAATGAATTGCAAGAAAATTAGTATTAACAGGTTAAAAGTATCTCCAACTCAGAGACACTGGCTAATTAATGTTACAGGCCTAGGGGTCTCCTAACTTGAGAATCCATACCTACTGCGGTACTGCCTACTTTAATCAAATCTAAAACTTTGATTTCAAGTGAAAAGGATGCATTATACAGAACAGCAGTGCCAGGTTTTGAGCCAGCCTGCCATTTGTAAATGTGAACATGATTAACAAATTTCAGTGATTCTTCTGGCACTGAACTCGTGTATTTATATGCTACTAGTTGAAGGTTTCAACAATTATATCGATACCGTCCTAGTCTGCAGATTTTCCATAAGAGAGTAGTAGTATTAGGAAGGTTCATTTTTGTGCCATGGTTTTTGGCAAATTAGTCTGGTCTTCATGTACTGATAAGGTTGCACTAGGTTGTTCTTACCAACAACCAAACCAAGACATCCGTACCTCTCACACCCAAATGAAAAAAAGATGTGTCATGAAAAGGGCGCGCTGGAGAACACATCCATGCCCATGCCACTTATGTTGTGGCCTATACAGATACAACTCTACTCACGAGCAGAGAGGGGCTTTTGCACATTTTTTACTAGCATGGATCACCTGCTAGGAACTAGGAGGGAGGAAGGAATTTACAATCGGTTTTCTTGAGCAAGAAGTAGAAACAGCAGCAGCAGTAATTCAGTGTTGAGGAGAAATTAGTAAGTTACGAACCAGCGGCAAGTAATGCAGGTTTTGGGTGCATCATCCCTGCTGCATATAAGGAAGAAGGGTCCGCAGGCATCATTCTTTGTGGCATAGCAACATCGGGCTTGATGTCCTTGAAGATTGATTGAGAGAGTATTAAAGAGTATTGTATTTAATAACAAGTTTGCAATGAGTGAGATAATAATTAATAAGATAGGGTAGAAGGGATATGTTACAAGTTGCTGGTTTCTTGGATGAAGCTGCTGCTGCTGCATAGGCATAGGCCTGAAAGGAGAAACGGATGGATCATAGTCAGAACAGGATCATGATAATAAATAGAGTTGACCAGAGTGTGGTCGATGGATGAGGTGCACAACTCAACTTACCCAGTGTGGCTAGGTGGTGGTGACTTTAGAAGGGCGATCCTGTTTGCGTCTAGGAGATGCTGTGAGGCGTCGGAGTCGATAGGGTTGGGGTTCCTGATTCGGTCTTGCATCATTTTGGAAGCGAGGACAGCAGAGACATCGGAGTTGAGGGCATTGATAGAGGCGGGAGGAGGAGCATCTCTTGTAGTGTGGAGGTGGGGGTTGTGCTGGTGCAGCAACTGGAGCCTCATCTGGTGCTCTCTGGACTTGTTGTTGTTGATCTAATAAAATTGAATCGAATTGATTGATTGATAATAAAGTCAGAGAATCATACTCATACACATGTGGTGGCACCACATGGGTGAGACGTAAGTAGTAGATGATGAGTAGCAGTGCACATACATCGTGAAGGGGGTGAGGAGGAGGCGCCACGGTCCCGGCCCCGGCCCCGGCCCCGGCGGGCTGTTGTTGCTTGGCGGTGTGATCGATGAAGGCGGCGGCGGCAGCAGAAGCGTTGGATGTGGAGGAGGCTTTGGCGGTGGATGAATGGAAGATGTCCCAGAAGATGGACCACCACTCGAAGAGGAAGCCGCCAGGGGCGTCGATGGCGACGGGGTCGGTGGCGACCTTGCCCTCGGCGATGAAGGCCTTGGCGGTGGCCTGCAGGTTGCGCTTCACCAGGTAGTCATAGATGTAGACGTCGAGCCTGCAGTCAGAAGGAACAGGATTGTTAGTCTACTATAGTTCTGATTGGGAGGGAGAGGAAGAGGGAGATTACAGGATGGGATTGGGATCAGGATTAGATCATCGTCATCATCATGAAATCGAAATCGAAATGGAAAGAGCAGAGCAGGAGGAAGGAAGGAACTCACATCTTATCGGCCTCCCAGTTGGTCCGCGCCATGGATTGATTGATCTCTGCGATCGATCCGCGAATCCAGCAAACCACGCCCTCCCTTGCAGCCCACAGGCGAGGGGAGCTACTAGCCACTAGAAGCTAAGCTATTAGCTAGCACTGGGGTGGGGTGTCGGAAGGGGAAAGAGGGGGACGACGAAGGGGCAGACGACACACGACAGCCGTTCCGTTCCGTTCCGATTCCGATTCCGATTCCAACGAGAGAGAGAGAGAGGGTGGCTCGCCAAGCCAGCCCAGTGAGGGGAGGGGAGGGGAGGAGGGAAGGGAAGGAGGGAGGGAATAAGGATGGATGGGGAAGATTGCAGCGGCGGCGGCGGCAGGCAGGCACAGCAGCGAGGAACTGGCTGGCTGGCTGGCTGCTTGTGTCTGCCTCTGCCTCTGACGGAGGGACGGGAACGGCAAGACCGGAAGGAAGACGAACATGCAAGACCAAAACGAAGACGACGAGGCAGGAGGCACCTCTCTGACTCTGAGTCAGCTCAACTCAGCAGTCCATGGCACGGCACTGCCAGATGTGGCCAACAAAATCTAACACACCAAGGCAACGGCAAAAGAGATGGCAAAATGCAGCTGCTGCCTCCCTCAACCTCAATTTCAACGAAAAAGGAAGCAACAGAATTCATCACCTCGACTGTTGGGCTGGCATTAAAGCCGGCTGTATCTGTTTTGTTGTGAAAGAAAAATATTATAGATTTTAGCTAATAAGCCGACTGATATGTTCATGTATGCAGACTATCAGAGTTGAGATTCCATTCAGTCACATCAGTCATCATCCACACACACACACATGGAGCATCGCAGTTGCTTCTTCACTGCACACAACCCCATCCATTGGCCATATACAAATACTACAATGCAAATGCAAATGCAATTGCAATGCTCCTCCTCCTCCTACTATCATGAATATATATATATATATATATGTATATCACAGTCGTGACTAGTGAGTGAAAAATGTCACTCGATTATGTTTGCTCGCTCTTTCTCTTTACAAGTCAACTGTCAGTATACCGACACTTAGGGAAGCAACTTTTCCCGCCCACCTACACTGGGAGCCACCACTACTTTCTGTTTATTTCCCCGCCGCCGCCATTGCTGCTTTCACCTGGTTAGCTGCAGCCGACATGGCGCGCAGACGTCCTGCGATCTCTGTGAAGGCCGGCCGCTGCACAGGGTCCGGAGCCCAGCACTGCTCCATCAGCCGCCTCCACTCAGGATCACAGCTTCCCGGCACAGGAGGCCTCAATGTATTGTTCACAATACCCCCTGCACCACTTGTCTCAAATCAATAATCAAATTCCGAAAACCAGAAACAAGACCAAACAACCGACAATATGATGATGCGCACCTATTATCGCTCCATAGTGCATATTCGCATATGGTTCCTCTCCGGTCAGGATTTCCCACATTACAATACCAAACGAAAACACATCCACCTGTATACATCACCCCCAAACAAAAACAAAAAAAAACTTGTCAATGATATTTACCAAGCTCACTTATAATATAGACAAGGTAACACTACCCTCCTTTAAACAGAGAACACAACTCAAGCAATAACCTAGCAACTACACATTAAAAAAGTTTGATAACATAACCTGCACCAACACAACTCTTCTTACCTTTTCCGACACCTTGTTGCTGCTCCCATTCAGCAACTCTGGAGCCATCCATGGCAAGGTGCCCCTCACACCACCCGAAACCAATGTATTTCTTTTTATTTTTGATAAGCCGAAATCACCAACCTTCATGGCAACAGCGAACCATGTGAGTTAAATAAAAACATTAAGAAAACGACCAGGAATCAAACTATAAAATCAGATTACAACTTACTTTGCAGATAGGACGTGTCTGGTCTTTAAGGTTCACCAGTAGGTTATCGCACTTCAAATCAAAGTGCACAATGTTCTTTGAATGCAAGTATTCCATTCCAAAGGCTGCGTCCATTGCTATAATAAGCCGCTTACGACGATCAAGATACCTTTCCAGGTGTAGTAAAATAGATTATTGCTCTGCTGTTTGCGGTTGAGCAAAATGCAAATACCACAAAGAAACACAGCAAGAGATTACTTGTCCTTGCGCTGCAAGACGTGCCGAAGTGAACCATTAACCATGAACTCGGTCACAGTTGCTAACGTCCCACCTGGACCGTCCTTAACAACACCGTAAAACGCCATAACATTTGGATGGTGAAGCTTTGACAGAATCTCAGCTTCCCTCCAAAACTCATGTGCCTAAATCCACAACATGAAATTGCACTACTCAAGATATACATGCTTATGAAGGATGGAGGCTGAGATAAAGATGTAAATTAAGTAACACTGGAATCAACTGCCATTTCCATTCTCTGTCACACCGCATGTATAACGTAATAATTCTAACATACTAAACTTACGACAAGATACAAGTCAAAGTACTTACTAGCCTTTCTTGCTCAGAAGATCGGCCTGTGAAACAGCTTTTCTTTATACGCTTAATGGCCACGTCACTTCCCCTCCATTTTCCGTGGTACACTGTTCCAAAAGTGCCAGAACCAAGTTCCCTAAGCTCCTCTAAGTCTTCGTTCTTGATAATCTGTTGAAAGATATTTCCTGTTATTTTCCAACAGAATAGCTGTGCACTGATATTGCATGTTATTGATCAAATGTACCAGAGGTTGTCCCCTTGTTGTGCACAACTATAGGATGGGAATATGGTAATATGTCCCTCTCAAGCTAACCAGATGATAACAGCTATGTGTGTGAACAGTTACTTCCCATGACACAACACATTTTACTTTGAAGAATTAATTTATCGTTCAAACAAAGCAAACCTGTCAGACTCGAGGTAGATCTTAAAAGACTTTCATCTAAACTGATAAAAAACTAAATATTATAACAACAGAATATATGAGAACCACATAACAACTTTTTCCTGTTAATTTCTAAACTATTTTTTCATCATCACATACTTCAATTACTGGACACCCATTGACAACATCTCAGCAGGACAAAGTTCTACTATTTATTCCATGTCTTCCTGCAACTAATAACCATCATACCTGCAAGTGTTCACAATCAATATCTCGGAGAGATGCATCCATGACTGGAATAACAGCTCTGTCCTCTTCAAACTTCGGTTCCTGAAAAATAAGTATATATAATCATAAATTGCAACCAAGATCTACTGCAAAGTTCACCTAACTTTTATTAGAAATGCATACCTCAAACTCTGAAACAGGTGGCCTCATGTTCTCCATCATCGGTTGGTTGTCAATATGAGATGACACATATGCAGGAGGCATACTACTAGGGTCAACAAAAGTGCTTGAAGGCCCTACCTTCTTCTCAGCATCAAGATCAAATTTTTGGTTCAAGCTCTGCACGGCAGATGTATCCTTACTTACTCCTGCAACTGGATAAAGTCCTTCCTCAATCTCTGCTAGGCCTGGGTTAGCCTTGCGTGGAAACTCATTTTGTGCAAGGTTTCTGAAGAATGACCAACTCTTGGGCTCATAGTTTGGTATGTTCAAGCTAAGGACGGGATCATTAAAATGGGTCGATGATTGTGCTGCAGCTTTAGCCTTTTCAAAGAAATCGGAAAGAACATCAGGGGGAAAGCGGTCATTAATATCAACAAAGATATCTCTATTCTCCGTATTAGGGAAAACTGATTCATCCTGTGGAATAGCTGAAGTTCTGGTGGATGACAACGCAGCCGGCTCATGCTTGACGTCAGTAGAGATTGCCGTCTTTGGAGCCTCCCAACTAACACGGCGTGCCATAGCATCATCACTTTCCTGCTGTATATTAGCTGTCTGCATTCCATCGATAGTAGTCTCCTTCAACTTACCTTTACCTGAAGCCTTTTCTGCAGAATTCATGGCTTTATCTGCACTCATGTTGTTAGGTCCATCCAATATTCTCTCTGCACTGGTCGATTGTTCAACTACAGCATCCTCTGAAATCTTTTTATTATCTGATACTTCAGAAGGAAGAACCATTCCAAATCGACTTGGCCAAGGTACAGCTTCAGTTAACTCTTTCTCAAATTGTATTACACCATCATCAATAGAAGGCTCATTCAAGGTCAGTGGCGCGGCCCCTAAATTTGATTTTTTTGCTCCCTCAACAGGATCAGCAACCTCAGGAATCGATTCATTATTTACACCAGACTGTGACTGGAGTATAAGAAACTGAGAGCCAAGTGAATCATCAGATTTTGACAACCGGTTCAGGGACTGCACTTGATCCCTAGGAATCCACTCAGATTGAAAGATCCGTCCAGCTTGGGATGGTGAATTTTTCAAACCATGATTATTCATGTCACTACCAACATCAGAACCGACAGATGGGTGGTGTTCATCATTAAACTCTGAGGCCTGAGCTGCAGGTGCAGCCTTCAATGCCATGTGATTCTCTAGGCTCTTCACAGTTCCACTTTGTGTAACAAAACACGCTGAACCTTCCTGAGCAGACGAAACAGGAAGTGCTTCAGAAAGTGTACAGTTTGAAACAGGAGGATCACGGTGTGGCATGATAGCACTCAAATGCTCAAGGGATTGGAAATAATCCACTTCATATTTTTGCTGCCTAGTATTCTTAGAACCCTGTTTGGCATCGTTTATACCCCCTTTCACCATAAAGCCCTCCTGATTAGGCTGCTGGTCAAGAGTTGCCGCTAATGCAGTCCCAGAATGCGGTGCATACTGAGAAGTACATCCATAGTGTGAAGGCACAGATAGAGGCACCGGAGTTCTGTTTTCAGTGTTGTATAATCTATCAGTGGACACTGGATACAGGAAATTAGAACCCTGGGCATACTGCACACCATGCCCTTGGTTCGAGTGCACATATGCAACATGATCACTAGATAAACTTGGTTGTGTTGGCGTTGAGGTTGTAGCAGAAGGCGCAGAAGATGGAGCACGTATACCAGCCAAATCTGACCTATCTCTATTCGGGTTCGACTGATCAGCATCAATTTTGAGAATACTGAACTGATCCAACTCACTGGCAGATGTGCTCGGTAAAGCATGGTCGCTTGAGGGCTTCCCAGATCCAGCGTCGATTCCGTTGACAGCCACAAGATACTGGTACTCTGAATCACCATCAGCGCTGCCCAGGTTAAAGCTTATCTCGTCAAAATCAGAAGAGGAAACTAAAAAGATGTGAATCTTGTGAGAACCTTCACCACTTCCAAGCATGCCAAATTCCTCCATCATGTTCCTCAAGTCTTCATCATTTGACACTGAGATGAGAGAGTCAAGGTCTTCACCAGGTAGCTGGTACTTGATGATATGGGGTTGGTTATAGATGGCCAGAGTTTTTGTTCTGAGGTCCTGCCAGGATACATCCCTACTGATTCGAAAAATACGTGTGTCGCCACCAACATACCTAAGCTTTCCGTCACTAGGCCGGGGTAAGATTTTACCCCCGAAGCTACAGAGGAACTTGATTTTTCTGGAGGTGTATGAAGCCTCAGAAGAAGAATAGCCATGAGAGAGTCCCCGACCGCTGCTATCACCTGACTTGGCTCGTGGAACAGACCTAGTTGACGTGTGCGTGCCTCTGTTTTCAGTTTCAGCAAAAGATTTTGTTTGAGGCTCCTTGCGTCGCTGACTATCAGAAGCCGCAGGCGCAGTTAAATGCGGGGCACTTTCAGATCCTGTATGGAAACCACCAATCATTCCCATGAGATCAATGTAGCCCGGTGCAACATTGTGATCGGGAGATGTAGCTGGGAGCACCAGGTGGTTTTTGGGTACAGCCCTGTCCCGCATAAACTCAAAGGCAAACTCCTCCCCGGTCTGGATGGAGAAATTGAGGACAGGTTTGGCAGTGGGTGGCACGCGATGGTCTGGAGCATGAGAAATGGTCGAGGATGAAGTTGGAGGTCCATGCATATGCATGGGAGCTCCTTGAGATGCATCCTTTCTTGGTTCCATTAATGTGTTGGACAGGGCATATACAGGCGTTCTCCAAATCTATTGAGTGGTAGAAGTGACACATGAGTTGGCAGAAACATCTGTTGTTGAACCTGGAGCGAAGAAACACTTAGAAATTAGAATAGAATTGAGTGGTGCACACTGTCACTGCACACAGCAATCATACATACGAGTACTCCTGTACTGTATATCCTAGATCGATCGCACTAAGGCAAATGGCATAACCAGGGGCGGATACAGTACACCGAATAATTTGACCAAAAAAAACGATGTCAGTAGGCATAATACATGTATATACGCTTGTAATTGGATCAGATCCGAATACAAAATATTCAAATAGCTTAAGTTAGGGTTCGGGCGCTCGGTTCCGCTCGGCAGGAAGGGGCGAGACGGGGTGGGCATACCTGATGGTGCTCTTCGCCGGCGAAGACCTGGCAAAGCGACAGGCGTAGGGCGGCAGCGGGGGTAGTAGCCGAGTTGTCGCCACGAGCACGAGAGAGTGAACGCGCGCGCACCCGACTAGCCGAGGTGAACGAACGGTGGGGGAGGGAGGAGAGAAGAAGGCAGGGAGTGAACCGGTCGGTGAAGGGGACTGTTGGTGTTGGGCACTTGGGCGAGCCCGCCCGACCCAAATCCAAAGTGACGATCGTTCGGTGGTTACTAATCTACTAGGCCTTGCTTCTAAAATTTGTCGAGCAATAATTTGATTGACAATCAAAGTTGACAAGAAATATTTACTATAGATTTGTTTAGTTTAACATGACATATCGACAAATTTGGCAACAAACTGTAACATCCTAGATGTTAAAAAGCAATCAAAACTTGATCATAAGCATCATCAAACATAAGCATCAAGTATCATGTCATAAATGCATTTCATGTTGCAGTAATAGCTTTCATATGTTGCAATTGTGATGTTTCACATGTTGCATGAAATGGTGTCAATAATCATGTTTAAGGATCTTTGTGGATTTATATATGAGAATTTGCTTAAATAATTAAAATTTTGTTAATATCAACTTTGTTGTTTAAAGTATGCTCTATAACGTGGGACCAAAGATTAGTGATGTTTCAAAGTCAAACATGTTCAAATTGGACTCTAAAGATTGAATTTGATATTGTTTTTCCCTCAGCATTTTTGGCTATCTCATGGAAATCAGGGTTAAGTTCAATTTTGGGAGAATTATTAAATGAAATTTTCATAAATAAAACTGGACCAAATTTTATTTCATGAATTAGTATGAGGTTTGGACTTTGTTAATGTGCAATTGATTGTAATGTATGATCATTGTTTAGCATCTAAATAATTACCCAAAGTTGCTTGATCAAAACTGTTTTTAAAACTCTAAAACTGAATTCAGTTTCAGTTTCATTGTATCTGTCTTCGGATCTCCAAAACTTCAAAACCCTTGGTCTTTTGACGTCGACCCTTTAAGCAAAGATGGAGATCTCTCATGGATGAACAATTTTGCTTAAAACTTCTCATCAAGTCGCTTTAAAAAATTGGGAGAACGAGAGGGATGAAGTTGGCCTATCAGACGTGAACCGGAGGTCGGCATGCTGTGCCACACAGCTACTTACCGCCGCCGACCACCGCCCTCCAGCGCCGCATCCTTGTGTTTAGGCACGTAGCTGTTTGCACGTTCTAGGTCAAGTAGGAGATGGCGCAACTCGATGTTTCGTCCGTGGCCGATATAGAGCGACGCCGGTGCCGTCTTCCTTCGTTCGGTTTCCTCGCCGTCGTCGAGCTCCTCCCGTCCGCCGACCTAAATTCGCCGCACCTGCTCGCCCACCGCCCAGTTGCTCGTGACCTTGCCTTCGCCTCGCCCTTGCGCGCCTCCTGAGCCCGCTTGCGTCACCTCGCGCCACCGCAATCACCTGCTCGCGCCGGTCTCACCGTGGCGGCTTGCCATGGTAGCCATGATGCCGCCCACCATGGCCAACCCACTCTGGAGTAACCCTTGCCGTCTTGTCTTTTGTTCTAGCTTCCTTGCGGTGTTGTGATGCTCATCGGCCTCTCGATTTTGACAGGCGCACGTCGGAGCCGCCGGAACGCTGCTCGTGTCATCGGTTCGTGTCGCCGCATCCGCCCTCACCGTCGGTAGCCGCGCCTGCGCCACCTCCATTTCACCCGCGCGCACCACCAGGTCGTGGTAAGCTCCTGCATCGCGTAGCAAGCGCCAATTTGGTCGATTAGGGGCCGAAATGGCTGGCCCACCGTCGCGCCACCGTGCCATGCGCCGCCGAGCCACCATGGCCATGGCTGCGCACGAGCCGAGCCCTAATTCGATCGATTGATAGTGTAGATGAGTCGTCGCCAGCGAGATATGCGGCTTACCCGTGGCATGCCGCGGTCAGCGTCGGGCAGGGTCTGGTTTGACCCCAGCCCCGCTCGTCAGTCGCGGTGGGTAAGGCAGGGGTGGGTGAGAAAACGTTTTGGCGCAGAAAATGATTTTATCTTTTTCGGAAGTGATTAAAAGTGCAGTTTCTTGCTAAATTCATAACTAAATAATGGTACATGCTAAATTCATGAAATTTGTTGTGTAGCTTTGTCATGAGATGCTCTACCATGGAAAAATATGAACTGATGATTTTCAATAATTTTAGTATGCTTAAAAATTAGCTCTTTTAATTAATAAATGTACCTTCCATGATTTTTATACGCTAAAATAATTATGCTTTAATCATGAAACTTTTTGTGTATGCTTTACATGCCAATAACTGCCTTCACAAAAAGTTTGGTACTGTTTTGATAATTATAACTTAGTTAATTAATTTAAGTGTGTTTAAATGTGTTTTTCTTAATTAATAAATACTAGAATAAATTAGAAAAATACTTAGATGACTCGGGTGTATTTTGAACATTGTTTGTGGACCTTGGAATACCCAAACTCCTACTATTTCTTGGCATCTTAACTACTTTCATGATTTGGTTGCAATCCACTTGTTGGTTAATAATTAAAATGATTTATTCAAATGCTTGTTTAGTAGATGTATATATGTAAGCCTTGTGATTACTATTTGTATGCAATAATCTAATATGGTTGCTTAAGTATGTAATGCTAGCTTAACCTTTTGAGATAGCATGTATACATGATATCTTACTAATATGATAAATAGCTATGCTAAATAATGGTTGATGATCTTTGTAATTAGTTTCTTATAATGATCATGGGTTAAGTTAAATGTTAGTCTCTTGCTAGACCATGCTAAGTTTAATAAGTGTTGTTTCCATGACAACAACTAATTAATTTGTTAGTTAAACAAATGAAAATACTTTTATAAAGCAAACCCTAGTTCTTTGGTGAAGGAAAGTTGTACTCAACTTTCTTAACTTTGTTTAACTTCTGTTATGCATTTGAATGTCTCTCATCATGCATCATGGCATGTAGACTATCATGTTAAGTAAAGCATCATTTGTTATGTGTAGTATATGAGAGTGAGAAGACTCGTGTTGATCAAGTTTCGGAGAAGGTCCATCCACTAGTGGTGTTGGTGCCAAGTCTAACTACTGGACCTTTCTGTGGAATCTAACATTCTCTGCAACACAAGCAAGCCCCAATGCATACCACCCTTCTCTAGTATTTACAAATCTTTATTATACCTTAAGTCTAGTGAGATATGCATTAAGTAATTAGGAATTGGTCAAATACTGTTGCTGCATGATTACCTTGATAATCAGGTATCCTTAGTTATACCCTGCTAGTATGGATATGTCGATATCTCTTATGCTTAGTAATGCTTAGACTTCGGTAAAAGTCGAATGGCGGTTCCATCGTTCACGAGAAGTAAGTTTTACCTTGATCTGCTCAGCTCTGCTGATGGTTCAGGAGAATACCCTGCTAATGTTAAATATTTAAATTAAGACCGGGCGAACTCTTTGCTTGCGTCAAGAATTGAGTCTTGACGTAGTGCCCCGCCTGTGTCGATTGAGAACCGTTTGATGTAGACCTGTTGTGAGTCGAGACTTTATAGTACTGGCCACTGTTGGTATATTTAACGTACACAGAAAAATTCGCAAGCGTACGGATACTGCTGTAGCTTTCACCCGAAGATATTCCAAGTATCATATCCATAGGAAAACGTATGAGACTAACTATGGTCTAACTTAACTAAGGGTAGCAACAAGGTTAGGATAAATAGGTGCATAGAGAGGATAACTAAAGTTCTCTAGTTCTAACTTAGGTAAGCTTATGTCTTCTACTATTTAACTGGAGACATTACTATAAAAAGACACCAGCAGAGAATGCTTTCCTTCGTAACCGCGTCCTACGTGCGCCTACAGATGGGAGGTGGAGGAAGCTATATAGTACAAGCTACATAGAACTCATGTCACTCACGCGATCTACCACCTTCCGAAATACAGGGTGCATCCACGATTAACCTAAGTCTAAATACCACGCTTATACTTACGATTAATACTCTGCTCCCCCTAGGAAGAAAATAAAGCACTCAAAAGAGAGTCGTGAACCTGAAAAACAATATAAATAAGATGCTTACTTGAATCAGAAGTTGATTACCAGAGAAATCTCAAATGCAAGCTCAGATAGAACTTGAATCCACCAAGGTACAAGCCATAGAGAGAGCACTGATAGGATGACACCTCCTCTAAACTCTTCCCTCACTCTCTATCTCACTATTTCTATTTATAAGACAAGATCCTATGGAGGACTAATCTTCTCTTGATAGCTGGCTCTGATCCTCATGATATGAATTAGGGTTTTAGGATGGCTCCAGGAGGATGGCAGGGGCTGATATATATAGGCCAGAGCGTTCAACGTGAGCCCTTGGATCAAACTGACTTAAAGGACGATGTATATGCAACCTAGGAGGCGGTGGTGAACCGACATTATGACACAGAGGCTGACAGGTGGGCCTAGGGAGCGAGCAGCCTATAGGTGGGGCCGGCCAGGCCCACATGGCAGCCCCTCAGGGTCTGCTTCAGTGAAGAGCCTCCTAGAGTC